TAACACCCCCTCCAAAAAAAGAACAAACAACAAACCAACCAAAACCAAGCCAAAACAAACCAAAAACCCAAAACAACCTAAAGAAAACAGAAGATACTACTATTTTTGGAAGGCAATTGAAATCTAGTCTTTTTTTTTTCATTCTGAGAAATGAAAGGTCGTTAAATTACAGTACATAAAGATCACCAGGGGATTATTTTTTGGAGTAAGTGTTGAGCCACTGGAGCTTCTGATATCTGAAAGTTTCAGATCCACAATGTCAATTCCTTGGAAGACATGAAAATTACCTTGTTCTGAGGCTGTCTTGTTTTCTGCTCTGAGATCTGGGTAAGTCCCTGGGTAACTCCTTATAAATTTGACTTACAGATTCAGCAATGAAGAACTCAGATCAATTCAATTCCTTATTCCTGAAGAAAAGTTGAAAAAAAAAGGATCTGTGAATTTTGATGAACTTTGTCAGAATAGGAGACAGGTGACCTCTCTGCTAAGAGAGAAGACATTCTATTTCCTACTAACACGTCCTTTTTCCACCACCAGAAAAAGAATTTTAGCCAATATATTCATGCTATGACAAATAATACAGTCCCATTTTTACTGATTTTAAGTTACCATCCTCAGTTTCCCAGAAAAAGAAAGCTACACAGCAATGCTCTACAATATGAAAAGGTTTAGTAGTTGTCCATGCTCTTTCAGTGAAGAGCATGACTATTAACATTTGGCTTTTAATTTAGCAACATATACAACATAATGCAGATAACAAAAGCAATGTAAATGTGGAAAATCAGATAATCGGGTCGTTTTCTGTCTAATACATGTTCAAATTTTTTTCCCAAATGCTGGGTTTGTTTTTTTTGGGTTAGAATTCTTGGAGAAGTTCCACTAAAATGAGAAAATATTTACTGATGAACAAATTCTGCAGTATTTAAACAAGCAACAAGTGGATAACCTAATCAACAATAATCATAGTTTAACTGGTAGGTTGCTGGAGAAAAAAAAAAGTTTCATAAACAGAAGATGGATGTTAAAGACAGGAAAGAAACTTCTGTGTTCATCACTAACTGCAATTTAGCGAAGCCAAAGTTTACAGGAGTCACAGCAACCATCCAGTAATAAAAAGGTGCCAGTCTTTTTGGACAAAGACAAAATCTGTTTTCTTTTACCTAGCAAGGATGTTTAAGAGGTATCGTTTTTCATCTAATGATTACTGGACCCTGTCATATTTCCCATAAGAGGAAAAATGATCTCCTCATCCTGTTAGTCAGATGAGAACTATCCATCACCTTTAAAAGAAACACGAGACTGGGTATTCTTCCACAAAGTAGACTTTATCTGGTTAAGTGACGTTTACTAAAACTTCACCTGAGTTGTTATGCAGATTTCTATTTTTTAATATATATGCTTAATTTCTCCCAGTTCCTAATCCCTTTCAATTCTAAGCACAGGTTTCATGTCTGTGGGAGGGATTAATTTGAATGCTACCATCCATATCTCCACCAGCTGAGAATGATTTTAGAAATAAAGCTGGCAAATGGAATTTGTACTCCATGTCATCTCTGAACAATCTCTTACTGAAGTTACAGAACACATTATACAGTAGGATAGGACTGATACAGACAGGAAAGAAATCAAGATCCCACAACTGTTTGAAAAAACTTCTGGTAAGGTATGCCAGTCTGGAGCTGGTTGAAAACAGAAAAGATAAACAGATGACAGACTTGGAAAAAGAGGAAAACTGTACCGATAAACGCTTTTTTATATTTTCCATCAGTACTTTCTGCACATATATTACAACAGAGAGGGAGCACGGTGGTATTAAAGGCCGCCACAACTATTTTCACCCATACCTCAGACCATGAACAATGCAGGGCAGTTGTCTGCATTTTGCTAAAAGCTGTTCCTTTCACTGCCCCAACCATGACAAAGACCCTGCTGGCTTTAAACTCCAAGTGACCTCTGCCACTAGAGGGCTGCACTTAATGCGATATTCCCCCTTAGACCTTCATTATCACTGCTCCAAGCAATTAAATAAGGAGAAAAAGTGCATATTCTGAAGCATAGCTGTAATAATTGAAACTTCCCTTAACACTAAACCAAATGTTGATTACGTGCAGTTGTCTGTCTAGTTAATTAGAGCTGTTAATAAGAAACTAGCTGAGAGGTTAGTTACTTAGCTAAAGCTAGCTTTTTCAAACATAAGCCTTTCTTGAAACTATACAAAAACCTTCTAAAACTATAAGAAAAGTCGAAAAAGCTTGTCTAAGTGGGATGGGAGATAATGTAGAGGGAAATCATTAAACAAAAGGCATTCTGTAGAGACGAGGGGAGGCACTTGTGAAACAGCTGTCAGTAAAGAAACAGGCTAACACAGGACAGACATCTGCTGAGTCTGAGGAAATTAGGTTTCAGGATTACCACTTTTTCCTCTAAGCTTATGGAAGCTAGATACACAAACAACATAGACGCTTATCACGTTAAAACCTTTTTTTATTCTACACTTTAATATTTCTGTTGTTAGGATGAAACAATACTTTTGTTTCAAGAATGCAATCAAGTAAATGCTTTATAAGCTAATTGGAGATCCCAAAGGGAGGACTTGCAGGTGCTGAATCCAATCAGATCTGTCACATAATTAAAATTGGTGCAGGGGGCACAGTAAAACAGATGTGGTCTAAAAACCAGAGAATTGTTTGTTTCAATGTTGCTACAGATGAATGGGACATAGTCAGTGAGATAAAGAGAGCAGTGTTATAATTTATCCAGTTCCACTGCGGAAATTGACTCAAGATGGCTTGATTCGAACATCGTGGTTTTTATTTTTGTCTTCAAAAGTTTCTGCAAGACATTTGCTTGGTTTACAAATAAAAAGAGGCCTCTTAGGACTGATGACCCTACAAACTGGACCTGAGATTTACAAGTCATGCCGTGCTCTTTCTGGCTCAAATACTAATAAAATTCTTTGGCTGTAACTTAGTAAAGAAAATGGAAGAGCTACAACCAGTCCCCAGTTTGCTGTACCATCATTGTGTCAGCAACTGCCAAGGTAACAGAAGCCTAGAATTTTATTTCAGTCAGTAAACTAAGCAATTATGAGTCAGAGTATCTTAGATACAAGGGGTATATGATGAGTAAGAAAGTTCCATTTTTATACAATCATTTTTCTGACCATTTATGCTATCAGATTTTTACTGAATCTGCTGCATCTATTTCATCTGCTGGCAAGGAGGATAGATATCACATTCCTGGGAAACAATTCCCAAAGAAGTCATTGGAAGTTTCTTATGTAGCGCTGGATTGAGATCTTAATTTGTGAATGCATTTGGTCAGGAGCCTGTTTAGATGTTAGCACGTGCATGGTTTAATATCCTATAATGCATTACCGATTTGACCTGTAATTTATAAGCAGAGGTGATGTGTTATATATTATATATGATGTGTGTATTTTAAGTATTAAAAATTGTTTGGGGCAGTATTAATGGTAAGTGATTTACTAAAACTAAGGCTGTCTCCCAGGGAGCTTAGAATGGAAATTGGATTTCATCCACTAACAGCCAGGTTTTAAGCTCGTGTATTAGGAGGAATCGAGTCAGCAGCCATGCCGCGCACACACACACATCAATACGAATTTAGCACAGAGCGTGGTGTAACGCAATAAACACACGTCCCTAAATTTTGTACGGAATTGATGCTCCGGTACTGACCACTACCGTCACAGGCACAGCAGGTTGAGACTTTTTTCAAAGGAAAAGAGTCAATAAATTTCAGAGTCAAATAGTAAAAACGCTTTCCTTGTGCACAGACAATTCCCCGAGCACTGCCTCCCCATCCCCCCGAATCTTACAACGTTTTAATATTCCACCTGAATAATTTGAGACCTGTAAGCAGAAATAACCTTCGCCGCAGTGAAATACCTTTAAATTTTCTACAGAATATTTAGGTAAGCAACGCGGCTTTGTGTCGCACAGCTCCGGCTAGACCGGCTGTCACAGCGTAACAACAATATCTTTATTAATTTCTTTACAAGCCTGCGCGATGCAGCCCGGCGCGTCCACGGCTCCAGCGCGGAGCGGCAGCGCTGTCCCCCGCCCGCCGTGCGCGGCGGGCACCGAGCGGGGACAGAGGAAGGGCCGCGGCCGCGCGACTGGTGCGGCCAGCCTCGACGAGGACATGTCCCCGCTATCCCACCGCCTCCTCGGGCGATCTCAGCCCTCCTCCCACGCAGCTGCGGGCCTGCGAGGCGCAGCGCGTAACCCAGGTGACGCCGCATCACGGCGGGGACCCTCCCGCGGCGGCAGCCGGCCCCCGCGCACGCCCGCGCCGCCGCCGCCCCCGCCGCAGAGGTTAAACCGCCCCCGCCTCCCCTCAACGGCCCTGCCAGCGGCGGCCGGCATTGGCGAGACGCTTCAATCCCAGCCTCTCTCTCTTTTGTTCCGATTGGCCTCATCTCCCGCCTGTCTCCGATGGAAACCCCCCCCTGCCTGCCCTCGTACACCCCCGTCCTTGTGCCCCCTCCCATGGTGCTAACCTATCCTGCCTTTAGGGTTTCTGCGGCGCAGCTGAGGGTGGCGGCCCCAGCCCCCAGCCAGGCGCCCGCGGTGCCGGGGCTAGAGCCGAGCAGCGCCGCGCCACCCCGGCAGCGATCCCCCTCTCCACCCCCGTGCACATGAGCCCGACAGCGAGGGAGGGCACGGGAGCCCGGGAGCGGCGGGCAGCTGAGCCGCAGCGTCAGGCGCGGCACTAGGGCGGGCAGGGGCGGAAGGGGGCTCAGAAACAGCGTGAATCATCTCCCACTCTCTCCCTCGCCCACCATTTACACCGCTCGCTCCCTCCTTCTCCCCCTCCCTTCTTCCCTCCCTCCCTTCCCACCGATTCTGTCTCACTCGTTCTCTCTCCCCTCCTCTCCCACTCACTCTCTCCCCTCCTCTCCTCTCCCACTCACTCTGTCCTCTCCTCCTCCTGTCTCACTCTTTTCATTCTTTCCCCTCCTTTCCTCTCCCCCTTTCTTTTCCCTCTCTCGCCCCCCTCGTTCCCCTGTCTCCCTTCTCCTCATCTCCTGACACTGCACTGCAGCTGCTCCTCCAGTCCAGTCCTGCCCGCTTCCCTCCCTCCTTTCCCTTCCCTCCCCCCGGGTGCCAGATAAACAAGGCGCGCAGCATCCTCGACAATCCCGATCTTAGCTCTACATTTTCGAAAAGGACAAGAGAACGGGACAAGCCCCCTCCCCTCCTCCTCCTCCTCCACCCCCTTCCTTCTCCTCCTCCTCCTCCTCCCCCCTTCCCTCCCTGCCCCCCCACCAGAGAAGGGAAGAGACAATTCTCCTCCGAGCAGCAGCAAACATGATGGCGGCAGCTCCCATCCAGCAGAACGGGACCCACACCGGGGTTCCCATAGACCTGGACCCGCCGGACTCCCGGAAAAGACCGCTTGAAGCCCCCCCTGAAGCCGGCAGCACCAAGAGGACCAACACGGGCGGTGGGTATATCCTCTGTCACCTCCCTCCCACCCCCACCCCCCCG